TCTATGTTTTGTCTAATCAGGATCTTACTTTGCTCAATAGTAAACAGGTACTTGAATTTGAAGCTTGTGTATTTTGATTCTTCATGACTGATTATGTTACAACCGACTGACTGTATAGTTTGTATTTTTGTAACTTTTCCTTCTTAGTTATATTTGTATGTTTTTGTCATAAATGTCACGGCATGAGCATTTTTCTTGCTTTCTTATCCATGTTATCCAGTCAGTATGCTGACTCTCTGATTTTTCTTTAAAGCATTTTGTGTATGAAAAGAAGAATAGAGCTGATGAACTGATGGTTGTCCCTTAATCTCCTGGATGTCTAATATTCCTATATGTAAGCTGTCTGATTTCATGCCTGAGAGAGCCTTCCACTGCTTCATGTGCTTGCATAGCATGATCACTGATGATCTTGTTTTGCAAATAGACTTGTAGGATCACAAGCTTGAATCCCTAGGTGGAAGCTTCTACCTTGCAAACTAAAAATTCAGAATAATGTGTATGAGTTTAACACGGTTGGAACTTTAGACTTTGGTTTTAAAGTGAGTTTTCTAGTTTAAATTGGGGCCACCTGGTTTAGTATGGTTGTCATTGGCATTCTCTTGATTCTCTATTTTGTATCTTCAGCATTTCTCTATTTCTCAAAACATGCCTTGAGGTGTATAATTATTAAGAGAATATGGAGCTGTTAAAGAACCAAGAAAGAGGTCATAGTTTTGTCAATTTCGTTTTCTTATTTTGTGCATTTAATTTATCCATCCCAATTTGGTTTGGTAATATATTACTTGCTTAATTTTCTTTACTTATGAAGTTACAGCCACACACTATAACATGAGTTAGGACACGAAAAGGTGCATGCGAGTTAGACGTAAGTTTAATTATTCTGCACCATAGTGCTGCTGCTTTATGCTTTCCTATCCTGTGCCATTTTCTACCCCAATATCTTAGTAACTGACTAATTCATAGTTAGTTGTTTGATCATGCTCCAATAGGATTAGTGACCACCTATGATTTTTGAATATTTTTTGGAGAGCAACTGTAGTATTGGTCGCCTGGTACTGTTTTAGGTTTTTTAATCAACTTGTGCTTAAAATTTTAGATTGGAAGTAAATGCTTAAACTCCTCTTGTAATCAAGGTTTGAAAGATGTTCTATCCTATTTAGCTCTTGTTTATTGGGTTTAACAATCTATTATTGAACTATATTTGTCTTATTTATGTAGGCTTTTGATTGTGCTTGATCCAGCTGCAGTGAGTTCATTGGGAAAGAACACATAAGTATTAAAAAAAAGGGAATGTATAACGGAATAGGACTACAAACCCCTAGAGGTTCTGGGACGAATGGTTACATACAGAGCAACAAATTTTTTGTCAAGCCAAGGACTAATAAGGTTGCCGATGCCACTAATAGTTTTGAACCTGGTCAGGGCACTGCTGGTCTCTCTAAGAAGCCCAACAAGGACATCCTTGAGCATGACCGAAAGCGTCAAATTCATCTCAAGCTTGTTGTTCTGGAAGACAAGCTCATTGACCAAGGTTACACTGATACTGAAATAGCTGAGAAGCTTGAGGAGGCTAGGAAGACTCTAGAAGCTGCTGCGGTGGTGGAGGAAAATAATGGATCCACTTCCACATTACTCAACTCTGAAAATAAGTAATTGGTCTTCCCCCGATTTCTTGTTGCCCTTTGCTTGAATGGTATATGTCATGTTTCTCAATACTTTCTTTTGTTCGTACTGGATGATACCCATGGATTAAATCCATTAGCTTAGAGTTAATTTAGTAGTGCTTAATATCTCTGGTTGTGCCCCTTTGGGAGCTTGAGGGTAAATACAGTAGGATATTTGTAAGTGAAATATGACGAAGTAGGGGTTGTCACACACTTTGTTGAGGAAAGGAAGTTTTTGACCTAATCATTGTCTGGTGAAAGACAGTAAAGGTGGGGCTTATCATATGGCACAAAAATATTCTTACCTACTAAAAAAATGTATGTAGCAAATTACCACAAAAAGAGACAATTGGGAACTTTAACCATAAATGATAATTGAATAATTACAAACTGCTTCTGCCCTTTCTGATTTGGCTAGTTGAATAATTGGGGGTTTTAGGGGTTACAGGGGGTCAATAAGCACTGCCTTATTTTACTCTTTAAAGGTTTTAAATGAGAGTTAGTGGCAACTCTTACATCTTTTGCCGGCCTTCCCCAACCCCACTCACCCGCAAAAACTTAAAAAAGAAAAAAAACTTGCAACCCCTAATCATTGTTACTTACCGCAATG